AATCTACAGAAGCCAATGAATCGGAAAGTAAACAGGCCATAAAAAAATATCATAACTGTAAAACTCAAAAGATTAGCATGTGTCTCCAAAAACAAACCACCAGCTTAAGGCAGACATCTCCCAGATTACAGACAAATGTTTTGTCATAATCAACCAGTAATTCAGTCATCCTTGAGAAAAAAAACCACAAAAAAAACAGAACAATTTGTCCCTTTAATACGGAAGAGGATTAAGGCCACTGGAAAATAAAAAAAAGTTAACTGATTTTTTAATTTGATTTCAGTTTAGTATGGTAAAAACTGTCAGAATTATGACTTTAATCTCAGAATTATGACTTTTTTCTCAGAATTCTGAATTTTTTCCCCATACTAAACTGAAATATAATTTTAAAAACAGTAATTTTTTTTTTCCAGTGACCCTAATTCTCTTCCGTACTTTAAATAAATGTTACGTGGGCAAAGCTATTCCTCACCAAACTCTAAGTCTACAATAGATCACCCAGCTACCACGTCTCCCGGAATATCTTTATCCACCATCAAAACTTTCCCGTTTTTTACCCAGTTACAGAAAATTGATTATAAGAAAGCGAGACTTTCAGATTGCACAGGCAGCATTTGTCGTTCTATGTTTGGTAATTGGTTGGAATTACTCATATATAATGGACATAATTCGATTATACTGACTTTGTGGTTTAAAAGGAGGTTCAGTTGTGAAAATCAGACAATAAGAAGTAGAGTCATGGTCTTGTGTATTGGCTATTTTAGTTTTTTTGTGTCAGATTTTGGGTAAATTCAGATTCAATTAAAAAAAATAAATTTAACATTTGGAATAAAAAAATGACTAAATCTTTAAATTTATGTAACTTTACGTCTATCTCAGCTACATCAATCTTTACAAAGGAGATGTCCACAAGTGAACTTAGTGTTTGTTGGCATAATCATAATATTTCTTAAAGGTTTATTTACTGCAAAATGTTTTTAAATTATCTCATCTTCCATTTCTCTAAAACCATAGCAGCAATTTTTTTAATGCTTACATTTGTGGTTTTGTCTAATAATTGGTAGCTTTCTTTTTTTATCTATTGAAAACAAACACACTAAGATGTGTTCATTTTATTTTAGTACAAACTTCTATGGGTTAAAAACTTGGGAAAAAGTATTTACATCTTTGTTTTTTAATCTTTGGTAAAAAAAAAAATTTAAATAAATGACACACCAGGGTGTTTCACAAGACATTTTTTTCTTTATTATATTTAGCTAAACACATTTTAGTCTTCTGAAAGGCAGAGGTTAGTTATACTACTGGCATTTGGGGGCAAAATATCAGGTGGTTTTCCTTAAATGTCAAGCACTTTGTAAGGCTAACCTTATTATATGATGACTGAATCCTTTCACTTGTCTGAAATGAAGATGCACCAAATCAATATCTTCAGTAGATTTATTAGTATTGTGTAAAAATCTGATAAAATCAGAAGTGATCTTCTACTGTATATAACTATTATAAAATGGACCCAACAAATCTTCCATCAAATTCTATGGAAGAGTTACGTCGATATGAAACATTTGCATAAATGTAATGCGGCTAACGGTTTCTTGTTCAAATGCTTCCAGAAACCTCATATTGCCAAAGAGTCATAACCTTGTATTTCGCTTATATATCTCTTCTTACATTGTCTTTTATTTCATGTTTGATAATTTTGAGAAAAATTAAATAAATAGAGGTCATTCAGTCACCTTTACACATTTACATATCCTTTTAACCACATTAGGGCACACATGAGAATTTGACTTGAGTGGATGTAGCGTTAGCAAAATTAGCATTTTGCAGTGGTTGGTTTACAGTCGTTTTCCGGTTTCTTACTCAGGTGTTCCCAAACTGTTTTTGTACCTTAGCCCTTCAGACAGATTTTACAACGGAGTATTAGAGTCCGGCTAGAGATTTTTTTTTCTTCTATTTCGAGAATAAAGTCATAACATTACGAGAATAGAGTCGTAACATTACGAGAATAAAGTCGTAACATTATGAGAATAAAGTCATAACAGTATGAGAATAGAGTTGTAACATTACGAGAATAAAGTCGTAATATTACGAGAATAAAGTTGTAATATTAAGAGAATAAAGTTGTAATATTACGAGAATAAAGTTGTAATATTACGCAAATAAAGTCACAACATCATGAGAATAAAGTCGTAACATTATGAGAATAAAGTCGTAACATTACAAGAATAAAGTCGTAACATTACGAGAATAAAGTCGTAACATTATGAGAATAAAGTCATAACATTACAAGAATAAAGTCGTGAAATTATGAGAATAAAGTCGTAACATTATGAGAATAAAGTCATAACATCACGAGAATAGAGTCGTGACATTACGATAATAAAGTTTTAATATTAAGAGAATAAAGTTGTAATATTACGAGAATAAAGTCGTAATATTACGAGAATAAAGTTTTAATATTAAGAGAATAAAGTTGTAATATTACGAGAATAAAGTCGTAATATTACGAGAATAAAGTTGTAATATTACGAGAATACAGTTGTAATATTACGTGAATAAAGTCACAACATTACGAGAATAGAGTCGTAACATTACGAGAATAAAGTCGTAATATTAAGAGAATAAAGTTGTAATATTACGAGAATAAAGTTGTAATATTACGCAAATAAAGTCACAACATTACGAGAATAAAGTTGTAACATTATGAGAATAAAGTCGTAAGATTACAAGAATAAAGTCGTAACATTACAAGAATAAAGTCGTAACATTATGAGAATAAAGTCATAACATTACAAGAATAAAGTCGTAAAATTATGAGAATAAAGTCGTAACATTATGAGAATAAAGTCATAACATTACGAGAATAGAGTCGTGACATTACGAGAATAAAGTTTTAATATTAAGAGAATAGAGTTGTAATATTACGAGAATAAAGTCGTAATATTAGGAGAATAAAGTTGTAATATTACGAGAATAAAGTTGTAATATTACGAGAATAAAGTTGTTATATTACGTGAATAAAGTCAAACATTACGAGAATAAACTCGTAACATTATGAGAATAAAGTCACAACATTACGGGAATAAAGTCGTAACATTACGAGAATAAAGTTGTAACATTATGAGAATAAAGTTGTAACATTATGAGAATAAAGTTGTAACATTACAAGAATAAAGTCGTAAAATTACGAGAATAGAGTCGTCACATTACGCGAATAAAGTCATAACATTACGAGAATAAAGTTGTAAAATTACGAGAATAAAGTTGCCAAATTAAGACAATAATGTCATAATATTAAGAGAATAAAGGCCTAAAATTACGAGAAACAAGTTGTATTTTATGACAACTCCTACAAGAAGCACTTTCTTCCCTAAAATGAGGAATGTCGAGCCCCTTGTGAAGTTATACTTTAGCATCGGTTTGACAAATAAGGAAATCTTTTAGCACCAGCATCAAATTGGGCAGGATGTCAAAATGGACTCAGGTTGGCCATCATATGCTGGTCGGAGCTCAAAGCCTTCTTTCCGTAAAGGGTTGTGGTATGATGACTTCATTCTGGTAATATTACAACCTTATTCTCGTAATGTTACGACTTTATTCTCTAAATGTTAGGACTCTATTCTCATAATTTTATTACTATTCTTGTTGTGACTTTTCTGGTGATATTACAACTTTATTTTTGTAATTTTATGACTTTTTTCTAGAAATAATATTACTTTATTCACATAATGTTGCGACTTTATTCTCGAAATAGAAGAAAAAAAAATCTCTAGCTTAGGCCTAATACTCCTTGCGTATAAAGTTCAGTTTTAAATCTCAAGATAAAATATGTTATGTCAAAGAAAAGTTTGTCATAAAAATAGTTAAAATATATGTTTATATATGTAAAATATTTGTTTACAAAATAATGAAAATAAAATTTTTTGCTAATTACTTTTTGTGCATTTCGTCGTCTCATACGGCGCCACGTAGACGGGGGGGTCTTTCAGACCCACTTTATTTTACAATAGATAAAAAGTTTAACAAGCAGCTAAACCTACAGACTGGTGCAGATGAGAATGAACCCTTTTAGTTAATTATAGACGGGTGTGGTGATAGCAACGTAATATTAGCATCCTTCTGCCATTGATGCTAATCCAGTCGGAGGATCATAATCGTGTTGCAGATTTTCCAGCAGGTTTTAACTGAAGCCCAACAGCAACTAGAGGTGAGTATTGGCATGAGTGTTGTGATTCGATACATGTCGCGATACTTGGGTCACGATACGATATTATCACGATATTGCAGTATCACTATATATTGCCATATTTTCCCCAGCTATCAAAATCAAATGATGAGATAAAACAGCAAGTGCTGTATATTTTCATCAGAAAATATTGATTAGGTATTATTATCCATGTTGTTTGGGGTTTTCTTCCTCTGTGACTGCCTCAAATACAGATTTGGTGCTGCACGCACAGTTAAAGGGCTCCACATCGCTTTCTGCAAGAGTGGTGGTGCAGAGGTAGCCCATTTTCCCATCAATGTTTTATATAACCATTTTTTTTTTAAATCGATACTAAGAAGTGAAAGATCGATATTATATTTGGCAGCCGAATATCACGATATATCACCAAAACGATTATTTCCCACACCCCTAACAGAAACACAGATTTTAACATTAAAAAGTCAGATTTTCAAGTGATGACTCTTTTAGGTTCATAGGATGTGTGCTTATGTGTGGATCCAATTAACAGTCTGGCCTAAATTGTTTTGACTAGAAGAGGTCATATAAAGTTAAAGATAAATGAAAAAAAATGCTTTTTTGGTGTCAAGGTAGACCTAATCCTTCAGTCTGTTCTGTCACCCTTCTCAATGTTCTTCTTTTTATCCTCATTTCTCTTTTTCAGAAGATTCTCAAAATGTTTCACTATAAATCAAACTTTTTTCTTGACATTTTCCCACGTCTGAAATAATTTCTCTCCTTTTCATTCCACCTCTTTGTCCTTCCTTCCACCTAGCTGGATTTAGAGTCTCTGGACCCTCGTGGCCGGACGCCTCTCCACCTGGCTGTCACTTTGGGCCACCTGGAGTGTGCCAGAGTTCTGCTGCAGCACGGAGCGGACGTTAGCAAGGAGAACCGTAATGGCTGGACAGGTGAGTGTGTGTGTGTGTGGAGGAAAATTCATTTGTTTGCTGTAATAATTGTGCATTATGCATACGCTTTTGTGCACACAGATTGGTCCAAAGGGAAGTTGAATCAGTTTAAAGATAAATGTGCTGTGAGCTGCCTTTTGTTTAACAAAACGTCAGTGTAATTAGAACTGCAGTATAATGGAAGATGAGAATGAAAGTGTCTTTCTGGAGGCAGTGGTCAAACAATATTCATGAAGTGGACGTGGCTTGCTTTTGAAAATCTTCCCTTATAACCGACAGTCACACCTCTCTTCTTTTCTGGCACTGTGCAAACACGCTGTGGACGTCTGGCAATGGCAGGATGGAAAGTGTGAAATCATTAATATTTAAACCTTCAAATTACCTTTTTTCACATGCCTGGTCAAGATTTAAGGGCTGGATGTGAATCACTTGTTAAAGATGATGATAGAAGTAAAAACAGCTTGAAATATGGATGAAAGTGAAGGATGAGGTTGAGCTTGTTTCCCTGAGCAACAGTTCCTGAACCTTAAAACTGTTTTAATTGTATCTTTGGATATGCATGTTAATTAGTAAGAGCCTGTTTGACAGCCTCTGTATAAATGCGTACTTTAAGGCACCTTACATGTTTTTTAGTGTTGCTCAGTTTAACATATTTTTCACATAAAGCTTTGTGTTTTGTGGTGTTTCTGGATATTTTACCTTCTCTTCTTTTTCAGTGTTGGGGGTTAAAATCAATAATAAGAATCTAAAGGACTGTGACAAAACTACAGAAGACGATTAGGGCCACTGGGAAAAAAATAAATGAAATATTATTTCAGTTTAATGGGAAAAAAGTTTGAATTCTGACTTTAATCTCAGAGTTCTTACTTTTTTCCTTTTGGAAGTTTTCTCAGAATTCTGACCCCCTAGGGGTGGTAAAGTGTCATTGCAGGGTTGTGGTGGAAATTTATCTAAATAAATTACCCAGTTTGAGACTCTTTTAATGCACTTATTTATTGATAGAAATATCTAATATAATAGAATAACAGTGAAACTTAAAATGGTTACATTTTAAGGTGGTAGTTTTAGCGATTTAAAGTATATTTAAGTTTATTTTATTCTACTATTGAATTTCTGATGATAATTTTCTTTGTTGACCTTTTGAAAAGGTTGGAGTGCGCTTAAACGAAGAGGTGCATTCAGCAGCCATGCCTTGAGATGATGGGAAATGCACGCATTGCTGCTCCCTCCGTTTGTTTTCTATTGCTAATATTTCGCTTCAGTTGTTACTACATGTTTAATGTTTGCTTAATTTGAGGCTTTTGTAATGTTTGTTATCATTGTGTCCTTTTTATCACGTAAGTGGAAGAAGAAAAAGCAATCACCTCTAAGAATAGGCCTAAAAATATCGGCAGCTTATCGGGGAAGGGTTCATCTGATGACAAAATAATTGTCATCAGCCTGAAAATAAATTTGTGTCGGTGGATCTATAGGAGGAGGGCAAAAAGAGAGCAGTCAGGCTTAAATCGTGCAGGATCTCAATGTTAATGTTCAGAACAAATGCATTTTGGGTGTCAAAGCATCTTCTCTACATGCCAAGTGCAACGCCTCTCGACATCCGAGATCAGAAATCTGAACTTTCACAGCTTGACGCAGAGAATCAAACAATTAGAAAAGCTAATCCATGAGTTTTCTGGGAGACAGAACCTACATGCGAGCCATGATTGCTTCTGCAGAGCTGTCTTTAAGTGAAAAATAAATAAATATACGGGGGTTAAACTCCACAAGCTTTAAAATCCCAGAGGAATGGATCGTTATGCACAAAGAAAATAAATTACTTCACTAAAACAGTTTATAAAAACCTTTGTTAACTAAAAATGTTAAAACCTGACGACGAAAAACTTTCTATCGTATGTTTTGGTAATTCCAGTTTGTGGTAAACAAACTTTAAAAAACGATTTATATTCACTTTCATATGGAGGACCTATAGAGTCACAGCAAAAATAAAACCAACGATTTCATATTTAATATTTAAATCTTGCAATTTGAAATCCAGTCTGAAAAACATTTTCTAATTGCACAATCAGGAAACATAATTAAACCAATCACATTTGCTCTTTGGATGTAAACATAGAAAACGGAAGCTGGAAAAATGTAAGGAATAACCTTTTTAATGGCGTCATCGCGAAAGGTATTCATAATATTTATTAATTTTGGTTTTTAAATCTCCATTTAAAAGGATTTGAAAATACATTTTCAAATTCCAGTATTTAATAATGGATTAATAAATACACTTTATAATGTCTTTTTTTTTTAATAATTCTATTTAAAATAAGCAATTAGAAAAAGCTTTTCAAATTGCCTGGTTCAAATGTTAAATTAGGAATGTCTGGTTTTCTTTTTTAGTGACTCTCTGGGTCCTCTCTTACTTTCAACAGCTACGAACAGACGCCTGGCCGGTGTTCTGTCAGATCAGCATACCCTTAATAATACGCATTACATACAGTTTCCTCTGTCTCTGCTCTCCTTACATCCAAGCACGCCGTTTTATTTCCCGATCTAGTCTGGTTTTTGCTGTAGTTTGTGCATAAAAAAAAAAAAAAAAAACATTCACTAGTTTCGTTACACACATTAGGTTTAAAAACAAACATTGCACGTGTTACTCCTCTTGAGATAATCAAGGTTCTTTTGGTTTTAACAGCCATTTATTGTGGACACGTCTTATAAAGCCCCAAAAAATGCCGTCAGAACTAAGAAGGGAAACAGAAACCCAAATTAGCTCAAAAAAAATATAAAGGTTTACACAAATAAATTGGCCGCATAAACTCCAGAGGAATAAAGATAACTTATACAGCTTTTCTCAGAAAACCAGGCTTAAAGCTTTCTGGTGAAACTTCTTGAAGAAACAGGTCCAAAAAAAAGAATTGTGTCAATCAATCTTTTCCATTGGCAACAATGTGACATGCGGAACAAAAACATAGGTTCCTCCTTACATTTTAATGAGCTTTTTAACCAATGTACATAAACATAAATTTACTGAAAGTTATTTATTTATTTATTTTATGATTGAACTTTTAATTTCAATACTATTATGCATTAACTCTCTTTTTAAACTAAATATTAGAATATTTAAATGAGTTGACTCTGATGGCAGCTACAGCACGTCTGTTAGATAAGGATGATCGGCATTTCTTCACAGAGTATTAATTATTTATAGGGAGAGGTTTCTACAACCCAGTTGACAGATATGATTTGATATTGTTTTTGGTTTGTTTAATATGAGCGACATGCGGATCATTTTATCTTTATTTAATTATTTTTACAGCACATGAAGAGTTACTGAAATAATTTTCAGATTACACATAAAGAGATTAATAAATTCCACAGGAGGAAAGGAACGACTTTAGGGTTAGGATTAGGATTCACTCAGTGATAACAACCTACTGAGCCAACTGGCACAATCTGAAGCCATTTTATAGGACTGATTGCCGCTAATGATGACCATGCACGATCGAGCATACCTAATTACTAAGGGTATGCTGGCCTGACGGGGTATGCTTTCGCTCAAACACTTGTTAAAACTATAAAGCCAAGCTGCTCTCTAACTGATAGCAACAGAATCGAGCAGATTATTAACCAGAGCGGCCAGCTTCCAGAGCGCCGAAGCACAATTGCGTAACGACGCCACAATAGGCCCGTAAGCAACATTATCCCGGTGGGCCCCATATGAAGTACAACACGTGATAAAGGTTCAGGATATGGCGACATTTCCATAAATCGGCCAAAAAGATGCAATTATGCAATTCTCAGTAGTATATGATCAGACATCGCACATGGAAAAATAGTGACTGCACACCTTGAATGGAACCATTGGTGACAGCGCACCACCACAGACCATCGGGCTACCTTCAGCTTTACAGCCCCCCTCCTCTAACCTGACTCCGCCAGATGGATTTGCTCCGCATATCCATCTGGAAACCTTCCGTTGAAGTAATTTTGGGAAGGGGCGAAAATACTGGTTAGCTGATTGGCCTATGTTGGTGATAGACGGGCCAAATAAACCAATCAGATCAACGAAGCATATGACGTACTAACAGAGCGACGACAAAGAGGAGCCAATTGATAGATCAAACTCTTGCTGAAACCAGTCGGGAGAAGAGCAAAAACATCTTTTCCTCTGAGAAAAGCCTCCAGAGCAGTGTTTTGCTCTTCTTTCAGTGAAGAAATACTCTGTAATTCCGATAAAACTTGCTCGATAGCCACGCTAACGCTAGTTTCATCGGCAGAATGTTCTTTAGACTGAACTGTCGCGCTTCTCGTTGCGTCACACCTCAACCCGCCTCAAAGCCAACGCTGATTGGACGTTCGTTTGCTGAACGGCTCCAAATTTTCTTTAACAGAGAGTCTCCAGACTGATCTGCGAGTGAAATCTTGAAAGCTCGCGAGATCAGGATGGTCTCACGAGGCTACCCCTCCTCACCCACGCTCTCTCCTTTCATCTCCTGGTCTCAGATGCACTGTTCTTTTAAGATTATTATTGCGGTTTGAAACATATGAGTGTATTTTTTACCAACCGTCTTTGAACTATACACAGTTATTAACATAGTAATTAAAAGTACCACTGTCTGCTTTGCTATTGGTGTTGTGTATAAACGGCTCACCATCATGTTGAAATCTGGCCTGTGTTGAGGTATAAATACGTTCCGATCGCGGTCAGTCACTTCAGGATCAGGTGGGTTTAAGGAGGAATTTTTCGCATTATTACATCTGCAAACAGACGTCCTGGTCTATAATTGCGTAGGGGGCCTATCGGGTGTCATTGATGGGGCCCCTAAGAGGTCATGGGCCCCTAAGCAACTGCTGTCTCTGCTTCAGGGTTCCTACAGCATAAGGCAGGTTAAATTCAAGACTTTTTAAGACTTTTTAATGCCGCTTGAAATAAAAATTTAAGACCAAATTTACAAGAAACTCAAGAAAAACCTGCTTGCCACAACTTAACCCAAAGGTTTATTTTAACATAAACCACTGCACTAATGTTTCAAATTTTGAAAAACCTCCCGCAAACACCCAAAGCTAAAACCACACAAATGACAGATTTATTTTAACAATTATTTAACTGAATTCACAAACTTTGTTTTAGCAGGGAACAAAACAAATCAGTTTTAAAGCCACAACATAACCAGTGCTAAGTCTTTTTTGCAGCTATTTTTCTTTGTATGGTTTTCTTAGTACAGATGCTGGTCATAAAATTAGAATATCATGAAAAAGTAGATTGATTTCAGTAATTCCATTTAAAAAGTGAAACTTGTATATTATATTCATACATTACATACAAACTCATATATCTCAGATGTTTATTTTGTTTAATTTTGATGATTACAAATGACAACAAATGAAAATCTCAAATTCATCATATCAGAAAATTTGAATATTACTGAAGACCAATAAAAACAAAGGATTTATAGAAATGTTGGCCAACTGAAAAGTATGAACATGAAAAGTATGAGCATGTACAGCACTCAGTATTTAGTTGGGCCTCCTTTGGCCTGTATTACTGCAGCAATGCGGCGTGGCATGGAGTCGATCAGTCTGTGGCACTGCTCAGGTGTTATGATAGCCCAGGTTGCTCTAATAGTGGCTTTTAGCTCTTCTGAATTGTTGGGTCTGGTGTATTGCATCTTCTTCTTCACAATACCCCATAGATTTTCTATGGGGTTAAGGTCAGGAGAGTTTGCTGGCCAATTAAGAACAGGGATACCATGGTCCTTCAACCAGGTATCTGGTAGCTTTGGCACTGTGTGCAGGTGCCAAGTCCTGTTGGAAAATGAAATCTGCATCTCCAAAAAGTTGGTCAGCTGCAGGAAGCATGAAGTGCTCTAAAACTTCCTGGTATGTGGCTGCGTTGACCCTGGACCTCAGAAAACACAATGGACCAACACCAGCAGATGACATGGCACCCCAAACCATCACTGACTGTGGAAACTTTACACTGGACTTCAAGCAACGTGGATGAAGTGCCTCTCTTCTTTTCCTCCAGACTCTGGGACCTTGATTTCCAAAGGAAATGCAAAATTTACTTTCATCAGAGAACATGACTTTGGACCACTCACCAGCAGTCCAGTCCTGTTTCTCTTTAGCCCAGGCAAGACGCTTCTGACGCTGTCTGTGGTTCAAGAGTGGCTTGACACAAGGAATGCGACAGCAGAAACCCATGTCTTTCATACGTCTGTGTGTGGTGGTTCTTGAAGCACTCACTCCAGCTGCAGTCCACTCTTTGTGAATCTCCCCCACATTTTTGAAGGGGTTTTGTTTCACAATCCTCTCCAGGGTGCGGTTATCTCTCTTGCTTGTACACTTTTTTCGACCACATCTTTTCCTTCCCTTCGCCTCTCTATTAATGTGCTTGGACACTGAGCTCTGTGAACAGCCAGCCTCTTTAGCGATGACCTTTTGTGTCTTGGCCTCCTTGTGCAAGGTGTCGATGGTCGTCTTTTGGACAACTGTCAAGTCAGCAGTCTTCCCCATGATTGTGTAGCCTATAGAATGTTAAGGAAGAAAATATTCTAACATAGTTAACTTTGGAAAAAGGTTGGCTGTTTCTCTTCCTTTCCCAGGTGCACTCGGCGAGCTGCGTGTGGTCACTATGAAAATCAGCAAGGCGTGTTGACATCACAGAATTACAGAGTTTAATCCAATATAAGACAATGCATAAACTTAGAAATAAGACAATGCACAAACCTACACCAGAAACTGCAGAACAACAGAGACATACATTCCATTACCTGACATAGGAGGAAAAAAAGCAAAGAGTACAGAGACATCTTTGGAGAGTTGCAAGGGCAAATCTAATCTGTAACTTCTATTTAGAAAGCTTTATCCTCTTGTATCTAATCCATTCAAAAAGGGCTGGCCCTCGGTCCTCCAACCAGACGCTATCTCTGACACTGCCTAGAGCTTCCCCTTATTTACTGCAAACATCTGGGGTCATTTGCTTCTTTGTTTTAACAAGAAAAGGCGGAAAGCTTGTCCTGGCATCTAGAATTCTGATGCTGCGTTCACACCGGGGGCAGCTGGCGCGACAGAAGCAGCGAGTTTACATGCAAAGTCAATGGTTGACGCGCGTCAAGGCGCAGCAAAAGGTCCCGCGGCGCGTTTCGAGCAGCAAGCGCAGCGCGTCTGAGCAGCTGAAGCAGCGCGTCGGGCGCGTTTTGGCATCTGACGCGCGTGACCCGCCGCAAACGCGTTGCTGCTCGAGATGGAAAAATTGAATTTTTGCTGCTCGACGCGCCGCGTCAACCAATCAGAGAAGCTGATCTGGGAGCTGGCTGGGAGAGAGACACAGCGCTGATGAAACAGACTGCTCTGATCACTTCTCTTAAACAGTTTATTAAAGCATAATTAATTTAAAATATATACATCTGCCGGCAGAATATGTTCGCTTTTATTATTCTGGTGCCTGCAGATCGGATTATTTAGATGAAAAACACCTACCAGCCACCGCGGTAAACCGCGAGGAGGCGACCCGACCAGAGGCTGCTGATTAATGGATTCCTTCTGTCGGCGCACCGCCGGTATGTGGGGGTCTGAGCGGCTCCGACAGAAATAACAGTGGGAGGCAGGATTGTAATCTGGATGAACTGACTCCACTGATGAAGTTTTCAGGTGTATTTTCTCACTTAAAAACATATTAAAACTACTTTATTCCCACTGATCACAGCAAATATAGCTGCAAGGCAGAGAAAGGATAGTGAAGCTCCGCCCAACGCGCGTCAGAGCCACTTTTGGACCGCGCAGCGAGAGCAGCAAAGCTGCTTCAGACGCGCGTCAGAATTCACTGGTACAAGCAGCAAAAATGAAGCAGCAGACGCGATTTTGCTGCTTTTGCTGCCCCCGGTGTGAACGCAGCATTAGGGTCATAAAACACAAGATAAGCTTTCACAGACAGCTTGTGGAATGCGGGGGGCCTCACCATAAAATTTCAGGAACAAACTTAAATTTAGTAATCTGGTTCAAGGAAAGGTTATCTTCACAAACTTGTTCAAAATAAGAAATATGAGAAAAGGAGAGTATACAACATACCTTTTACACATGCCATAAGATTAACTGTATTAAAGTCTAAAAAATAATCATTTTTCTTTAACAAGAACTAGACTGAAAGACCATTTAAAGGCTTTTGCAGGTGGTTTGAGTTAATTAGCTGATTAGAGTGTGGCACCAGGGGCCATCAATTTTGAACCTTTTCACAATATTCTAATTTTCTGATATGATGAATTTGAGATTTTCATTTGTGGTCATTTGTAATCATCAAAATTAAACAAAATTAACATCTGAAATATATGAGTTTGTATGTAATGTATGAATATAATATACAAGTTTCACTTTTTAAATGGAATTACTGAAATCAATCTACTTTTTCATGATATTCTAATTTTATGACCAGCACCTGTATGTTTGATTTGGTGATAAGTGGAGGCGTTGCAGAGACAAGGGTGGAACAAAACTGAGAAATACCGGCTGTTTCTCGGTAACTCGATTTTGACGTATTTCGCGCTTCGCATGTGCGACTCCACTGCCTTAATTCCCATCGTTCTGAGCTTGAATGACTTCTTGCACAAAATCCACTGAGCCTCATGTATGTTCCCTGGTTTTAGCCATGGAGAAAACTCTTGGCTGGAGACAATTTTCGTTACATTTACACTTGCTCTTTTTTCCAGACAAAAAGTAAATGGCGCATCTCCCAAATGTCCCGGCCGCAATAACGCTTTTATTGGTTCCGCTATCGGGACGGAACCAATAATGGCCAGCCGTTTTATTTTTTTTAAGTAATAAAAAAAAATTGTCAATTTTAATGTGTTATTTAGGTTACAAAAATAAATCGTAATAAAAATAAAAATTAAGACCCACGAAAGACTGATTTAAGAAATTTTAATACCAATTAAGGCCTTAGTTTTATTTTGAAGAATTCAATGCCTTTTAAGACTTTTTAAGGACCCGTGGGAACCCTGTGCTTACCGATATTTACGCCATTGTCGAAGCATCTGGACCAGCATCTGACACAGCCTGCATAGTTTCGGCATTGAAGCGTTTTTGACACCCAGAGTTCGTTCGGTGTGAACGCACCATTAGAGTTAAAGTAACACTACAGAGAAACGGAGGTTGTTATTATGAACCCGTTTTTAAATTGTGGTTTTACTCAACAAGAAAAAAACCTCTGATCATCTGTCCTTCAGCGAAATGAATCGTTTGGTTTTATGGCCATATGATGAGGATTAAAACTCTTTGTGGACAGGTTTGTTCTGTGTTTAAATCAAAGAAGAAACATGGGGAGTTCTTTAGTCTATGATCAACCATTTGTAGGATTTACAGCCAAGTGTCGTTCTGATAAAAGATGGGCCAGCGGCGGTAATTGGTCCTACCAGCTTCTCCTTTGGCCTACTTTACGTTAAGCAGTTCCCGCTGCCTCCTTAAATGGCTCACTCGCATAAATTTTCAATGAAGCCTGAGTGTTTTACTGTCTGTCTCCCCCACTCAACCCCCCCTCCCCACTCAGTACTTCAAGAGGCGGTGAGCACGAGGGACCCAGAGCTGGTGCGTCTGGTGCTGCGTTACCGTGACTACCAGAGGACTGCCAAGAGGCTGGCGGGGATCCCCGTCCTGCTGGAGAGACTACGCCAAGTGGGATTGCACACACATGCACACACATTTACACAACCCCCCCCCCCCCCCCCCCCCCCCCACACACACACACACACATGCATGTAGATGGGAAGAAATTATCAGGCAATTTCATCTAGAGCTGCATTAAAAGTAAGGTTCTCATAAATGTAAACAGGTCTCCGTTTTGGGATCAAATTATCCTTTTGAAGATATTTATAACTGTGTTTACTATTTGGCAAGGGAGACACAAACGATGATGTCTCCATGATATGCAGTAGTTTGCCTCTGGGTGATCTGACTCATCTTAGCTCCTGGAGGAGAACAAACCGGCATGATTAACAGGCACAGAGGCTTCGCTGACAAAGCTGAGGTGGCCTGTGCAGGAACACGGTGGTTCTGCAGCGGATCATCCGGCTTCACGCAGCCCGTCTCTGTTTCTGCTCCAGACACCAAAAACACGGTGATGTTTTTCACTTCTGCGTCCTCACGCCGTAGACGAAACAGCCTCACACTTTGAAAACGACTCTTCATTGCACAGCAGTTCACCTGCTGCTGCCCCCACCCACTTCGTTACCTTCTACATCCATCAGTTCTATTATTAACCCGCCAACAAACACAGTCAGCTTCTCTGAGTCAGTTCATCCCTGTCTTAGACACTGAAGCATTCCTCTCCTTTAGCTCCTTCCACCTGGAGGAGGCCTGATGTTCAACCTAGTTTTTTAACGTCTCCGGTTTCATTGTTTTTTAAATTCTCTTTTTCACTTTCCTAGGGATGGTTAAACCTTTTCTTGTGCTGCTGCTGCATATGCACGGTCCTGCGTTGTGCTGCAGTAGAGCAAACTTTAAAGGAAACGAATGGATCATTATCTATACCTAAAACTAACACGTTGGCAGTGATTTGATGAATTAAGTGTTAATCAGTAAAAAAAATAAAAATAAAAAACAATAATTTATGATCACCGAGTCTGGGAGCGGCCATTTTTGCCCAAATATAGTAACCCCTCCCTCCTGCCATCTTCTGGTAGTTACATCACGGTGCGGTAAGCCTAGCGCCATTCTCCCCACTTTACAAGCAAAATCAATGGGAACTACTAGACACATCTGCAATCAACAACAATTATTGAAGATTTCCAGAGGACTTCACCATTGAAATTCACCAGAGCTATAGTGAAACTGACAATGCCCACGTGCATGGCAGCTGGATGTTGGAATACATCGGGTAAAAGTGAAAAAAAAAAGAGTTATTTCACCTTTCCGATTCCTGATCCTCCACGGACGGGTTGGTCGTTGGATCGCCAACTTGAAGAGGGAGGATTTGCCATCGAACTTCTGGCCAGAGAAAAAACCCGTAATATGTAGCCAACATTTGGAAGAAGAATGTTTTCAAGATGACTTGGATAATAGCGCGTTGTGACAAACACCAGATACAGCACTGGGACTTGATCAACAGCCGATACCGCACCGTCACAAACCAGTAGGTGGCAGTAGTGTTCTTTGACAAACATGGATGCCTCCAGTAAAGCATATTCAGATGAAAATTACTCTTAAAAACATTTATCATTTATTTAACAGTATGTTGTAATTTCATACTTTTAGAGGTTTGAATTTTAAATATGACCGGACTTTTCCTTTAAGTTTTTGGCTTAGAGTCTCCAAATACAGTGTTGTATAAAGTACTGAAATCTCGGAGTCAAGTAAAAGTATAAGTACCTCTCCAAAATATGACTTTGGTAAAAGTCCAAGTCACTGACTGAAATGTTACTTGAGTAAAAGTCTTTAAGTATCTGAAATGGCTTGTACTTATGTATAAGAATTACTGTAAAAATAGATGTACTCAAGTAATGTAGTGAAAAGTATAAATAAAAAGTAAGTGCAGTTTGAATGACTTTTTTTTTTTACATTTTGGTAAACTTTTAAGGTTAAATTCACTTAAAATAATATAAACAACCAAGTGTAGAAAAAATTTAGGCTGGCTTTGCGAAACAGGCGTATCCTATTGGTGTTGATGAACGAACCCAGGCAAGACCAGACTTTGTAGTCAGTAGGTGGGGTCAAAACATTTGCGTTTCTCTCGCTCGTTTTTTTTTTTTTTTTTTTTTTTTTACTTAGTAACTAAACCAAACATTGAAAATGTATCGGGAGTAAATGTATGCAATTAAGTTTGTAAATGTAGTGAAGTAAAAGTAAAAGTTCTAAAAAAAATGCATACTCTTGGAAAGTATAAAGTACTCCAAAATATACTTAAGTACAGTAGTATTTAGTATTTTTACTACGTTACTATGCAACACTGTCCAAATGATCTTCGCCGTTGCCTCTCATTCATAATGAACCTGAAATGCGTTGTTAATCTGTACGTTGGTACAATTTTATCCCTCGCCACATTCTGTAATTTCAATATGGCAGACTGTCGACGCACTTCGCTAATGAGTCATCAGCCTTATGTATAATCTAATATAAAATTGTTCGCTTACGGAAATGTATCCGATTATTAGTGCAGGTAAAATTACACCAAAATACACTGCGGGGTATTTGGGAAGGTTCGATTAGCATCTCCCTGAAATGAGCTTTTGGAATTTGGGATTTCTGAGACGGGGAATAAAGCTGTTAATGAATTAAATGCAGGGAGGGATCGATTATAGTGCAAAAGTTTTCAAGACAGAAAATATCTGTAGGAGGGAACAATGGAACTTTGGCGAATGATTGACTCATTTTCAACAGAGAAACGAAGGAGAGTCACTCTTCCTTCTCTGACTGCAGGCTGACGGCCTCTCAGTGCTTTAGTGGAGCTCGTTAAAGACGGTAAACTCTGCAAACTTTGCTTTTAAATTGTTGCCAAAGTCCAAAAAAAGAAAAAAAGTCCCCTGTTTTTTTCCTAGTTTCTTTTTTGTTTTAAAGCTGCCAATAGCATCTAAAAAGTTGCTAAATATGCGGTTCAATCAACTATTTTATTTTCATCTTCCCTGTATTCTTCTTGTTTAATTTTAGTTGGCAAACAAAGGTCAAATGCGTCACTGAAAGAAGAGCAACAGCTTCATCAAGTTGTAGATTCATTCTTCAACATTTGTGATTTGTTGTTTTTCAAGGTTTAACTCTTACTTTAAATTGCAACATCTAAACATTTTAAATCCCATATATATATATATATATATATATATATATATATATATATATATAGGCTGACGACAAGAAGCAATTACAAATCTTAATCTTCCTCACATTTATTGACCTACATTTCCAAATATTAAGAATCCTTGCGATTAGCAAAACCTTTTTATTGACAGTTATCTTGTCCAAAGATTCTCCTCTTTCTGTTCTTCGCCCACATTGTCCGTCTCTCCATCTCTGCTTTCTGTCCAGGCGCAGGACTTCTACGTCGAGATGAAGTGGGAGTTTACAAGCTGGGGTGAGTTTCAGCTTTTGCATCTCTGATACTAACTTAGTCTGTTGCTGATTAACAGCTCTTAGTTTATCTGCTGTTGTGTATATTTTATTGTTGTGGTATAAGTTTAATAGGATTTAATTGAGGACTGAGGTCCATAACGACCCAAATGAAAGGTTATAGTAATGTTTGATTAGGATTTGGCGTTTGTCCACAGTGCCCCTGGTGTCGCGGATCTGCCCCAGTGACACCTACAGAGTGTGGAAGAGCGGACAGTGTCTCCGTGTGGACACCACCCTGATGGGGTTTGAGCAGATGACCTGGCAGAGAGGCAACCGGAGCTTCATTTTCAGGGGGCAAGGTTAGCAAGCCAAGTAGTCACGCCCCTTGAACCTGATGCATTTTCCTCTCTTTGCAACTGCAGACATTTATGTGACCAACATGCGTTAGGTCAAAGTGAAGCAAAGCTTTAAAGGGGTCATAGAATGATTCTATAGGGTATCTGGTCCTTAAGGTCTCTGAATAGGGTGTGTAACATTGGTTGGGCTGAAAATGGCATATTTGCTGTTCTATGAGCCCTAATGCAGCCTGGTTATAAGGTCCAGAATGAAACGACAGATTTTCTTCCTGTTATGGTATGATCATGAATATTTAGATGAGCTGTGCGCTGATTGGTTGGTTTACAACGAGCGAAGCTGCTGAGCAAAGACGCATCATAGCAACAAGCACTCACTCACTGAAACATCAAATTGTTGATATGGTAGGGTGACCCGATGTCCTCTTTTTCACAGATATGTACTTTTCATACCTAAAAAAATGTCCGGGGGGAATTTCAAAATCGTCCAAGACTTTGGTCGACTACAGTGCAGCAGAACCGAGTCGTGAGCCGTAAACATGTATCTAACAAACTAAATATTTAGCTCCAAATTAAGTACTTCTTAAAAAAACTAAATATTTAGTTTGCAAACTAAATGTTTAGTTCGCAAACTAAATATTTTTGCTCCAAACTAAATATTTATTTAACAAAATAAGATATTTATAAATGAATGAACGACATAGTGAAAAAAATGACTTGGAAATAGTAACCTGCTTATTTTTCTCTAAAAACACGCTAAAAAACCATAAATATTTCTGCTAAAGATAAAGAAAGATAAAGAAAATAACAAATTTTGACATGGAGAAGGGTAACACAACGAAGGATCCAGTGAAGACCGACAGGAAAACAGTAACTTAGGCCTCATCCACACAAAGATTAACTGTATATTTTTATTAATGACGGAGAAAAAAAATCACGAGTGCCTAAGGAAGAAATTATGTCATACCAAGATTAAATTAGAAAATTACACTTAGAGTCTATACCAAAATACAGAAAAAATGATGGGAAAAACTGACCAGAAATCATTTGGTGAAAAAAAACAAGCATAACTAATAAGGCGACCTAAAATAACAGCAAAACGGAGAACGTAAAACATGAAACTCCTAGAGTAAAAAGTGAAGAAGAAACTTAAAAAATACACAAAACTTTAACTAAAATAAAAATAAAACAAAATTGATCAGTTTGTTTCAGCAGCTGTAGGAATAAATTGTATTGTTTAAATTCTTTTAAGTTTGAATTTTATGTTTTTCCTTTCCATTTCCTTTCCATTGCTTTTTGATGTTCTATCTCTTATTACATCTTCAGTCTGCTGACATCTGTCCCAGTCCCACCTTTATGTCTTTGTATCAAATCATGATCGTTTCCGTCTGAAATTCCTCCCGTTTTCCTTTTTTAATCTCTCAGACTCCAGTGCGGAGGTGATGGAGGTTGACCACGACAGGCAGCTGGTGTTCTGCGAGACCTTGTCCGTCTCTTCCCTGACGGCGCTCTCTCCTGGCAAGGGGAAAGCCGGAGCCTGCAGAGGCACCTGTGCCGGACTGGGTCTCCTGGGGGCGTCGCAGCCCAGCGACGAGCAGGTCGCGGTCAGGCTGTCTGCGCCGGTGGTGACCACTCAGCTGGACACCCGCAACATTGCCTTCGAGAGGTCAGAAACAGAGCAGCGATGCACAGAACAGGAATATAAAAGGTGTTTAATTGTATGATGATGTCGACATCTTCAAAGCTTCGAATCAATCGATGCAGGGAACAGATTACTGATCACCTTCAGTGATAAATTACTCTTTCATAAAATAATATCCTCTGTGCAAAACATTTCCTTTGCTATAAGTGATTTTCTGCAGCAGCTAAAGCGAGCATGCTCCCTGGCGGCTGTCAGAATGCATTTGGAAACATGCAAGAAAAACACAGCAGCACTAGCAGGAAGTGGAGAGTAAAAAAACACAAGGGAGCCAAAAAAAGAAAAGTTAATCATAAATAATTTGTTTAGAAAGGTTCTGTTTTAGTGTTTTTGATAAAACTGAGAGGAGCTGCTCGTTTCTGGGGGTTTGCTGCCTTCTTTATCTAGATTTTTTTTGGTTGGCTCATCAGAGGTTCATAGAGTTTATGCCACCAAAAGATTTTACAATAAGGTTCCTAAAATCTAAACGCCAAAAGATAAATTTTAGCACAAAAAACGATCATGTCAGGAAAAAATAACGGAAAATTCAAAATAAGGATGTTGTTCCTTCCAAAACTATTTCTTTATGTTGAAGCAGGGGAGGATCTAGGATCCTAGGAGATCAGGGGCTTAGCCCCGAGGGTGAAGATGAGAGAGTAGACTTTCTTCTAAATCCCGTTCTAATGTAAAATATGACAGATTACTGGATTAAAGAAATTTCTACTATACTACATGCTATCACACACAACAATTCCCCCTCGATTACATGGGAAGAAATTAAATCACCTGCAAGTCTTTAACTGTGTTTATCCCTCTCTTCATCAACAACAAACTCTGTGGATTTGGTCAAATTTGATCATTATTTGCCAAAGTTATCAGAGGAAAATCATATATTTTAGCCGCCTGATAGAATCCGTTTCATCATAACACGGGAAAAAAATAAACAAATCCAGTGAAACTGTCATTATTTTTCATATATCATGTTTAAAACATTTATTATTTTATATTTTTAAATCCAAAATAGTTGTTGGATTATCTTTATTTAATGTATTTTAATTCTCAATTCCAAATGTCTGCAATAGCATTGCTCCAGACATTTGGAATTAAGAAACATCTTCAAACTTGGAAAACAATGTCCAGTGGTTTTGGTTTGAACTTTTTTTTGGAATATTTATGAATTGTTAGATAAACATTTAAAAAGAAAATATATTTCATAAAGATCATCAAAGGGGGAACGGATTCTATCAGGGGGCTAAAATATACGATTCCCCCCTCATAACTTTGGCAAATAATTATCAAATGTCACTAAATCCAGAGGATTTGTTGTTGATGAAGAGGAATAAACACAGTTAAAAATGTGCAGGTAAATTAATTTCTTCCCGTGTTATGGAGGAGGAACAGATTATTTCAGGCAGCTGAAACATCAAGTCTCTCCTTCTCCCATATCTTTGGGAAGTAAAAAGCATCTGTTTCCAGATTCTCAAAAATTGTTTGTGTGATATCATGTAGTATACTAGGAATGTCCTTAATCCAGTAATCTGTCATATTTTACATTAGAACGGGATAAATCAGAAAGTCTACACTCTCATCTTTGTTGGAAAACTGTTTGGTGACTGACTTTTATTTCTGCCAGGTTTAAGTGACAGAAGTTGGAAAAAGACGATTTTCTTGGCGTTTAAAATAACACAAAATAGCTTTAAAGCACCTCGTCTATTTATTTATTTTACAATTTTGTAAACAACAGCTGCTGATTAAACTGGATGTTGCAACCGTGACATGATTATAGCTGATTTTGGCGAGAAATCGATCAGACGCGTCGTGAAAATGGTCCCATCCGCCATGTCCGCCTCTCTGGCTTCAATGCGATTCCCGAGGGGAACAGAATTTCATACACCACCGGGACGAACAATGTCTGGAAGTCAGTCAGAACTTCACATCCCTGGAACATCAGTCTGTTTAGCAACAGCCATTGGTGAGAACTTCTTCTTCTGCACGGGAATGCTACGGGCCTTTGCTGCCACCATCTGGTGAAATCCAGTACTGCACATTTTACTCAGATCAGCTCAGAAGCGAGATCCGGGGCTCTAGGGGAAACATCCGGGGCTGCAGCCCAAGTAGCCGCCCTCTAGATCCGCCACTGTGTTGAAGCCAAACCTTTAGTGATCGTTACTCAGATTTTTATGTCATGTAAAATAGTGCATAAACTACTTAGACTGAATAGAACCACCTGTTGCTGGTTTCAGCTACAAATCTCGCGGGATATTTTTCTACCCATTTTTCCCAAACAAAAGACTGAAAAAAAAAGCATCAGGTCTGATTGGTCAGAAGCAATAATTAGCTGCATGATTCCTTTAAGGATTGAGGTCTGGACTTTGACTAGGCCGCTCTTACACATCGCTCCATCCATCTTCTTCTGATCTCTTCCTCTGTCCCTGCTGAAGAAAACATTCCCACAGCATGATGCTACCTTCAAGGCCAGCCCAAGGCATAAGCTAATTGCTAGGGGGCCACAGGATACACAATTTCAGGATGCATTTTTACAATATTTGTCTTTAATTATGTGAAAATCATTAATTATAAGTGACAAAAAATGACACAGATGATGAATGATAAGTGTAAACTTCTCTGAGACAGACATATTTGGGAACAGTCTGATACTGATGAGAGAACACTGTCTTCGGAGATGGAAAAGATTCCAGACTAAAGCACAGATGACCTCATTCACTCACGATCTTCTCAAAAAGGGATCGAAGTTCTACCCAGATGTTTGTGATCTGTGAGGACGGCCGACTCTCTCCCTGCAATTGTTGCAGCTGCAGAGCAGAGCTTTTTCAAACTCAACGAATAAAGAAATGCCTGAGCTCCTCCATAGTAGGAGAGCAATCAGTGGGCTGGCAAGGGTTAGTATTAGCAAAAAAAGATGGCTGTCAGATTGATCACTGTGATGTCATCTGTGACTTTGCAAACAGAAAAGCAAGAAGCAGAGGTTTAAAGTCGTAGGGAAATCACATTTGAATGTCAAATCATTCTGGCTTAAACATGTATATAAATGTACTCTTTATCAGACGATATTGTCCCAAAATTCAGAAAATTTCTGTTTAAAAAAAATCCTTTCTTAAAATCTATGGGTTTTTTCGTTATCTTCTGCAGGCCAGTTAGTTATACATCAGCTTGTACACCTAAATTCGGCCAATCATATATCAACGGTCATCTGTCAATCAAATTTTTTCAGTCGTAGCATCTTGATTCATATGTCGCAGCTAATATACGCAACGGTTGAAATAAGAAATCAGAATCATTTCCTTTCCCATTGAGTTCCGTCCCAGTGTTCATGGGGATCAGAGATGGCAAAAGTACTCACTTTCCGTACTTGAGTAAAAGTACAGATACTTGTGTTAAAAAATACTCTGGTAAAAGTGGAAGTACTGATTAAACTTCTTTACTCAAGTAAAAGTAACAAAGTACAGGCTTGTAAATTTACAAAAAGTAGAAACCACTTTTTTCATGCCGTTGCCTACATTTTAAATGGATGTCTGCCAATAGGACTAGATCTCCGTTGTGTTCATTTTCAATCATCTCGTCGTCCATACTACTATGCCAAAGCCACCGCCACCAAGCTGCAATGATTTGCCGCGAATGAATACCGCCGAATCTGTCGATTCATCTTGTAGTGGTGCGTCAAATGCAACGTAGATTCCCATCCAATTAGATTGAATTTGGTATTGATGACGTGAAAAATAATAACGGTAACTCCATTGAAATGATTCAAAACTAAAGTAACGAGCCAAGTTTTTAAAATGTAAGGAGTAGAAAGTACAGATATTTGTGTAAAAATGTAAGGAGTAGAAGTAAAAAGTCGCCATAAAAATAAGTAGTAAAGTAAAGTAAAAATATTAGAAAAATCTACTTGAGTACAGTAAGGAAGTATTTGTACTTCGTTACTTCCCATCTCTGATGGGGATGGACGTCTGTGTCTTCGGCAGGCGTAGAGCTAACAGAACTGGCGGCGTTGCGAGGCAAGTAGGGGTGGGTATTGGCAAAGAAGTCACGATTCGATTCGAATCACGATTCACATGCCACGATGCGATTCTATCACGATGCATCACGATACTTGAAATATTGCGATGCATTGTGATATTTTCACTGAACACTGTAAGAAAAAGATACAGCCCTTACCAGTGGCTGACTGGCTGGGTGTGATCTGGATAGTGTCTTCAATTGATACATAACTGAAAGCAACTGAATTCATACATAGCTGTATTTATTGAAATTACTTTTGGAGGTGTTGCAATGAAAACAAATACTGGACAGAAATATTACTATTACTGGCATGGACACACCAACAAAAAGATCTTAGGATTCATCAAACTTAAAATAACAAAATGAGGATAATCAGTCCGGACATGCTTATGACACAAAGCAGCAGGCGTCAACACATCCGCAGCGACATCTGCTGGACTGGAAGTTGTATTCCACTTGGTTTGATTGATGTGCGCCAACCATTAATGTATTTTATTTGTTCTTTTTTTTTTTTTTTTATAATCGATTCTTGCCTTCAAGAATCGATTCAGTAGATCACAAAAATTAGAATCACGATTCATCGATTTGACGATTATTTTGCACACCCTTAGAGGCAAGGGCTCAAACATGGACGGCTGGAAGCCTTTTACACCAAACCAAGCTTCTGCCGCCCTGGCGTCCTCTTCCACAACATCTTCGTCCCCGCTTTCCTCCTCTAAATAAAAAATGGATGATGGAGGAGACTCATCCACGACGTCAGACACTAAACTCTCCTCCTCTTGCATCTTAATAAGATAAACCGAATTGTATAACTTTAAAAAAAAGTTTAGAAAAAGTACTTTTGTATGAATACATCTGCATGGAACCGTGGCATCTTACAGGTAAAGGTGAAAGATGTGAGACCCCAGGGGAGTGTGGGTGGGGGTGACCCTGGGAGGTAGAAGGATGGCATGCAAACTAAAGATGGG